GGTGCCCAGTCACATCAAGCTGCTGTCCCAGCAAGGGTTTGGGGGTGGGGGGAAAAGTCAAATTCTTGTCTTTTTTTCCCCCTTAGTACAATTCTCTGCCAGGAAAACAGTGAAAAATGAAGATATACTGCTAAGAATGTGCATGCCTTAAATATGCATTTTAAAATGCCAGCTGTTTGCTGTGGGGAAAGTTTTTTTTATAGATATATTTGTAATACACACACACACACACACACACACACACACACACACACACACACACACAGGTTCCAGAGGTTCTAATTCCAGTATATATTTTTTTAAACTATTATTGTAGGTTGAAAGCTATCACCCCAGTTTGGTTGGATGCCTGGTACACGGATAAGCGCAGGGACCCTTTCCTGTGGGTCTGAGTCCTTCGGACAAGAGGTGTAGTTAATTGTTTAGTATGGTGGTTACATATTCATTAGCCTTCTTCTCTAACACAGTAATTTTTCTTTAGAAAGGGCATGGAAAATGGAAATCATTCTCCAAAACCACAAATAATTTTTTAATGTACGGCTTGCATACATCTTATGTGCAACTCATATCTCATGAACACATTGGGCACATGCCGCTGGGCTTCCCAAATGTGGCGTAGCCTACTGATGACTCTAACTTGCCAGTGGGGCCGTTTCATTATTGGAATGAAAGGAATTTTAACACTATTTAGACAAAGTCCCAAATGCAGTGTAAAAGGGAAAGCTAGACTTTCTTATTTAATTTCTTCCTTTTTCTTTCCTTCCTTTTTTGTTTTTAAACTTAGGAATCTATTTGTAACAATGCACATTTGGGCAGGGTATGATTCTTTGTGTTTAGTTGTGTTTACTGTTATCTCCCAAAGTTTCACCATGTCTGAAAGTGCTTTTCAGTGGAGGTTAACTGTTTCTTCAAGCCAGTCCCTCAGCCTCATCCTCACTCTGCTGCTGCTGCTGCTTTATTTTCTGATGTCTGGGGCCCAAACTGGCTTCTCATATGCCTTATAGAATCCTATCAGGATGCCTCATTATTATGCAATTGTGTTTCCTCCAACTCAGGTCTCACTTTTTGATAAATAATTGTAGCCATTGTGTTACGGATGTCGCTCTTATTCTAAGAATATATTTGCCTAAAATCTTCCTTCTGCTGCTGAGCGTTTGGTTCAAGTGACGTGTCCTCTCCAGAGGGGTGATATGTGTATATTTTCTGGCTGTAATCAGAGAAATTAAAACCTCTGAAGCTGAGGACGGCTAATTTACAGCATATCCGAGAAGTTTTTCAATTAAGATTTCTGTCAAGCAAAACTAAGTGTTTGGGAGACTTGCATTCAAGTTCATCAAGAGGGGTCAATATAGGAAGAATAAATAGTGTCCTGTGTTCTGTGCAAAAGAGCCAGGAGGGCCTCTGAGAAACTGGCCAGAATTCACCAGCCTGAAGAATTACCTGTTTCCTTACAAATCAGGCCTTTACTATGGGTTGCAATATTATCTTGTTTTTTAAAAAAGAAAAAGAATTGAAAACAAAACAAGACAAAGGTCATTGTGTTTAGCTATATTTTCAAAACAGTGTTGGCTTTGTCTGCTGTTCCATTAACTTCCAGGGAGGCATACCAAAAGAGAAAATGGCTTGTATTTGTAACATGGTTGCAGGAATTTGTGTCAGTTTAAATGGGTCAGGGTTTAGGAATTCAAATGAAGGTAACAGATTTTTTTCAAGCGATCTTTCAATTAGACCCCATTCATAACCTGTTTTGGGGAAAAACAGCAATACATCATAGCATAACTTTCACCCCAGAAGGCATTATTTTCTTCTTCTATTTATATTTTGGGAACTCATGTAATCTCTAGTTTGTCTGTGTGGAGACAACTCTTCGATATTCCCAGTGAAACGTAGTTAAATAACAAAGCTAAACCTGGTATGAACTAGAAATTCTGTGGGAAAAGGGTGGACTTTTTCCCCCCTCACTTAAGACAAATGACTTGCATTTTAAAGAATTAAAAATTCTTTTAAAATTAAAAAAAATAAAGTAAAATCAAACAACTTTGATTTGTACAAAGTGTTTATATTTAGTCTTGTCAAGGCCGTGCCAACAAGAAAATCAGGACATGTAAAGGAAGAAGAAAAAATAATCAGTTTTGGCCAAATGGCAAGAATTGTTTATCTTTGCCATTAAATGCATATGTTCTAATGTGCGTCTGGTCAGTCTGACTTTCTGGTCCTATCTCTCTAGATGGATTTGCTCCTGGATCAGAAGCCAAAGAGTCTGTCCAGAAAGATACACTCTTGTGTGTGTATGTGTATGTGTGTGTGTGTATGTCTGTCTGTCTGTCTCTCTCTCTCTTTTCTCTTTCTGTCTCTGTCCCTCTTTCTCTCTTTTTTAATGGCTCAGTTCATTGGGGAACTAAAAACTTTGGGGAGCAAAAAAAATTGAGATGTCATAATTCATATCTCTATTAAATATTATTAGTGCCTATATGGTGCCAAACTCCTCAACTCTCAGAATAGCCTATAATTTCACCTGGAATTACTGCCTCCAACTCCCTTGTTCAGAAATCAAAGAGGATGCATTTTGTATTTCACATCCAAGCTCCAATACATCCAAGACATGGGGCCCAGTTAATCTGTACACTAAGAAACGGAACAGAATCAAAAAAAATGCAGTTTATTATTGTAGATTATTCTTTCTCTCGATATAACCAGAATTGAAAATGAAAGAGAAGCATGTAGAACATCACGCGTGGTTAGTTAGTAACTCAAGTTATAAAACAATTTTGCACAGCAAAATATGTAAAAGAAAAGTGACTGACAAAAGATTTTTGTAGATTTATTGTGGTAAGATTTACTTTTCTTTTTTTTTAAAAGACAGGATGTCAGTCCCTGAAAATAACATTTACTGGTTATTGCCTTTAAAACTGTGGATTTTTTTTTTAAGTTACAGAAAATCCAGTTCTGCACCACAACACAACTGTAAAAAATCTGCATTGCTTTAAAACTGTGCAGTAATGCCATTTTTATAACTGCATAAATTTTGTTAGCGTTCTAAACAGTTTTGCGATTTTTTTTGTATTATATGCTTGCAGGTTATATCTTAGTGCAATTCAGTCCCAAATACTTTAATTTTGGAAAAAAAACATACATTTTTGAATGTAAAATACCCCTACAGATATAAACAGGGGCATTTCCCCTTTAATACTTTGGTTTTCAATACAGTCCATGGTATAGCAAGAACTACACATACCCAACTTATATTTAAGTTGCAAGCACATGCTTCAGAAGCTACTTTTTAAACAGTCCCCTTGCAAACTCTACCCCCCTTAACATCACAACAGTAAACAATTTAGTGCATCGGTCTTTAAAAAAAGCTACAGCTACACAGACCTAACTCTTTCAAATTTATCTAGAACATTCCTTTATCTGTAGCATACATTTTAACTGGGCTAACAGATTATAAAAACTATAATTAAATTATATACTAGAAACCCATAGCATTCCACATTTGACAATGACCAAAAGCCAAAAAAAGAGAATAATAATAATAATAATAAAATAAAACAAACCAAAAATAATTGGGGCAGATTTCTTTTTCTTTCTTTCTTTTCAAAGAAAATTTAGACTGCTTTTGGCAAGAGCACAATTTAAAGTGCCCCAAAGCAGGCGTCCGTCATCGTTTCTAAAAAGAAAATATTTAATTTATGTTCTGTCATATTTGCCATGTAAATTTGTAGCCCATTCTGGTGTCTTTGACAAGGAATGCCTTCAGTGCATTTACAACGGGAGGCTGAAGTCCATAGTAACTCAAAGCAGTCGGGAGCAGAAGCAAACTTTCAAGGGAGGAAGCCTCTGGGGTTCTACTTTTTCTGCTGTTGTTCTGAACTCAAAAAAGTCATGAGGCTGTAAAACAAAAGTATGGATGCCATGCGCTAAGTCTTCAAAAGTCCATTTCCAAGCCAAAAGGGAAAAAAAAAAGGAAAAAAAATAATTATACCATACATGTCCAGCATGCAGGCTTTTTTTATTAATATAATGTCTCTTTTCCATAATGTCTTTGAAACTGTTATAGTTCATTGTTGCTAAGACAAAGTAGCAAGCATCATAATGCATGAGATGAGAGTAAATTTGTTTTTGTGTTTTTGTTTGTTTGTTTGTTTTTTAATGGCTGACTAAACTTCCAGATTTGGCATCATAAGGCCAAAACTCAGGAGTCACACCCAGAAGCTTGATGCAGGCTTGATTGTGGCAGGTTCAGGAGGGGCTTTAGGTCTTTCTGTTTTAGCATAACAATGCTAAAAACCCGGTGGAACTCAGCACGCTGCAAGGTCTATAGCATTTCACATTTTTTTTTTTCCTTTGCAAGCTCAATCTCACAGAACTCAGGAGGAGAAAAAAAAAACCTGCTGTTTTTTCTTTTATCTCAAGAACATGGTGCAGGGGGATGAGGGCGGAGGTTGGGAAACACGGCAAGCTCCAAAAAATAAACAAAAACAAAGAAAAAAACAAAAGAAAATCCAAACAAAATAAACACACACACACACAGAGAATGAACACCAGCTCATGAACTGAAAAAGAAGAAAGAAAAAAAAATACAGGCGATGATGGCTGGATTCAAAGGTGAGCTATGTCCTACATGAAGTACTCTGCTCAGATCTTTGACCCTTGTGCAAGTCCGGGGTGTGTGTCGGGGGGGGGGGGGGGCGGTGTTAAAAAAAAAAAACAACTAAGCTAACAAGTTATGGGGAATTTCAGGTTGGCAATCCGTGAGCCAGACACCCCTTCCCTCCCCAATTCAAAACAGTCACCACCACCACAAGTTTGGTGTGTGTGTGTGTGTGTGTGTGTGTGTGTGTGTGTGTGTGTGTGTGTGCAAGGCCAAGGAGAGCAAACTCGCCAGGGGAGGGGGAGAGGTGGTGGCGAGCGTGGCCCTGCAACTAGCAAGCCCACTCAGGAGCAGGACCCCCACGGAGCATTTAACAAGGTGGCTAGCTGGGATCGCGTGTCACACTCACATGAAAAATTCGGGAGAGGACGGGTTGTCGCTGCTGGAGCCGTTTTCTCGGAACCCGCTGCTCACCAACTTCTCGTATTTCTCCTTGTAGGCGTCCCTTTCGCGCACCAGCCTGGAGATCTCCTGCTTGAGGTGGTCGACCTGCTGCAGCAGCTGGTTCTTCTCCGACTCCAGGACGTGTCTCTGCTGCACCCTCTTGAAGCGGCAGGACTGGGCATAGCCGCGGTTTTTCAGGGTCCGCCTCTTCTGCTTCAGTCGGATCACCTCCTCCTTGCTGACCCCGCGCAGCTGCCGGTTCAGCTCGCGCACCGACATGGTCACCAACTGCTCGTCCGAGAAGCGGTCGTCGAAGTGCAGGCCTCCCGCGGCATGGTGCGGGTGCAGGGCGCCCCCCGCCCCCGCCGCGCCCCCGCCGCCGCCGCCGCCGCCGCCGCCCCCGGCACTGGCCGGGCCACCGCCGCCCGCGCCACCCGCGCCGCCCGCAGAGGCGGACGCGCCGCCCGCGGCTCCCGGGGCGCCGGCCGTCGGGTGGTGGTGGTGCCCCGTGGTGTGGTGGTGGTGGTGATGGTAGTGCGGTGCCGCGCCGCTCTGCGCGGCAGCCGCGGCGATCACGGCGGACACCACGGCGGCGGCGGGGCCCATCTCCTCGCCGCTGCCGCCCAGGGAGGCGCCGGCGCCGGCCCCCGCCGCTGCGGCCAGCTGCTGTGCTCCCCGCGCGTAGCCATCGAAGCCACCCTGGAGCTGGTGGCTGTTGCTGATGAGCGCCTCGACCGCGTCCTCCGGGCTGAAGCCCAGCGCCTCGGGGTTGAGCTGCTGCGGGTAGCCGGTCATCCAGTAGTAGTCTTCCAGGTGCGCCTTCTGTTCGCTGCCCGAGCCCGGGCTGGGCGCCGAGAAGCTGGGGGACGGGGGCACCGAGCTGCAGGGCGTGCTCATGGGGGTGGAGGACAGCGAGCCCCCGGCGATGAGACGGCCGCACTGGCTGATGATGCGGTCGGTCTCCACCGGTTCCTTTTTCACTTCAAACTTCATCAGATCGAAGTCATTAACATATTCCATGGCCAGGGGACTGGTGGGCAGGTCGGAATTGTTCATTGCCAGTTCTGAAGCCATCCTCCTGCCTCCGCCGCCGCCGCCGCCGCTCCGCCAGATGGGCTGCAGGAGAGGGGCCAGCGGGCTGTGCTGGGTGGCCAGCGGGTGAGCCAGCTTGCCGGGCTAGGGCGCTTCTAGCTCGCGCGGCGGTGGCTGTGGCCCGAAAGCTCGAGCGTGCACACACCCCCCGCCCTGCCCGCAGCCCCCCGCGCCCGCCCTCCCTCCCCCCTGCTCACGCCAATGTGCTCTCTCTCTTTCTCTTGCTCTCTCTCTCTCTCTCTCTCCCGCTCGCCCTGGGCCCCCTCCTCGCCTGCTCGCCTCCCTGAGCTTGGATCCCGGGCGCTTCAGGCTCGGGAAGGTCCTCCGCAGCTGGCTGTGGCGGTGGCGATGACGGCGGCGGAGAGGATGCCGGAGGAGACCGGCCCGGTGCGCGGCGTCCCCGGCTCGCCGCTCCGCTGCGCGTTTTGCATAAGGAGGGCTCGCCTAAGCCGGCCGGACTGCAGGCGGGGCGCGCGCAGCTGCTGCTCCGGGGCTGGGTGGCGCGGCGGGTGGCTGTCCCGGAGGCGCGGGCCTCGGCACCGGGGTAGTTAACACTTCACGCTTCTCTTCTCTTCTGCCTGGCTCTTATGATTACTATTATTATTTTCTCTTTTCTCTCTCCGGATCCCTCTCGTGCGCGCGCTCTGTCTCTCTCCCTCTCCCTCCGTGCAAAGTGCAAGACCGAGGTGCAGGCCGGCTGGAGGCAAGGGAGGGGGGAGTTTAGTTCTTTCTTGCCTTTTTTTTTGTTTTTTTTTTTGTTGTTGTTTTGGCTTTTTTTTTAAAAGCAAAATTGCAAAGTCCTGGGCCAAGGCGAGGCCGAGAGCGAAAGGGTTGGGGGAGAGGCCGAGCGGACTAGCAGCCCGAGCTACAGCTCCAAGATGAAAAAAGATTTTAAAGCCTCTGATCCAGCGAGAAGAGTTTAAAGCAATTGCTGAGTTTTATAGCACCCGTGACGTCAGACTCAAATGGGAAATTGACTGGCACTCTCCTCCAATGGGAGGCAGCGAGAGCGGCCGCTATTAGCATAATAGTATAGAAACAAGGAAACTTTTCGGAGCTGTCAATCACAGCCCAATCAGCTGACTGTCAGCTGGGACAGGCTGGCTTAACCCTTGCGGCGCCGCTGCTCCGGTGCAGCCAGGGAGCAACATCCCCCACCCCCGCCCCGCGCGAAGTTTAGTGCACTAGGGGACAGACAGAGTTTGGTAAAAGGGCGGCTGGAATCCGGGAGGACCCGAGAGGACGGTTTGCTTTTCTTTGGAGCTCGGGAGAGGCCTGCCCTGCTGAGCCGCAATTCTGGCGCTGCAGAAATCCTCCTGAACGCTCCTGTCCCTTGCCGGTCCCGCACCCTGACAAGGTGCATTCACTCCTCTTGCAGTTTTCGCTCTTTGATCTTCCTTCAGCATCCTCCGTGGCTGTTGAGGAGTGGGGGTAGGGGTACCTTCTTTCCCTGAATCTGATGCTCTGGGTCCCAACTTGACTCAACTCTTTGTCCCTCTCCAAGTGAGGTGATCAGATGGGGGCGCCAAGGGTGCGGGGACCCAGAATGAGCGCTGTGCGCGGTGCGCCTGCCTGCCTTGGTTGTTTGGGTTTCGCGCGGAGAAGAAAGCCTCTATGATTCTTCTGCAAAACGAGGGGCCCGAAAGTGTTTGGGGACGTTCTATATAGTGACTAGCTGCCCGCTGGCATCTTCGACCCTTGGAGAGAGTGATAGGGCGGCTTTGCCAGCAAGTTGATTCCCGGACGCTCAGAGCCGGCTCAGCAGGGCTCAGCCCTCAGGCTCCTGACTCTGGCTGGGAGTTTGGCTTCTGAGAATCATATTCATACTCATTCTCTCTTCTCTCCTCCCCACTTTTTTCCCTCTCTGTTCCCCCAAAGTCTCTCCTCTCTCCCCTTTACTATTCACCATCCTTTCCATTTGTGAAACCTGAACCATGCTTGAGAACCCCTTACCCCCCCCCGCCCCCCGTACATCCTCACCATTATGAAATGCGAACCCTGTTTATCTGGGTCCCGGGCGCCCTTTGCCCTCCCATCTTGTTTAATTATTTGGTATTTGGGACTTGGTGGTGAAGTGAGGGGAAACAATATCCCAGAGCCCTCCCTTTCGCCCCTCCAAGGGTTAAATTTTAAACCGCTTTCTTCTCTGGACAAGTCCGGAAACCCAGAGTGGGGGTGGGGTAGGGTTGTCCCCCCTCCCGTTACAAATGCTGAAAACCGGTTCAATTTTCTAGACTGATTCTTCCAAACCTATGTAAAAAATATGGGAGGGGGGGGTGGCAGAGAAAGCAAAAAGAAAAGAAACAACTCTTTTCTAAGATTTTAAAGCGATAGGCAAGTCGGAAAGCGGAGAGTGACGGGGGAAAGCAAGGTTGTCTGAAGCTGCCCTATATTTGGAAGAAGGGCTCACCTGCTTGGAAATTGGGACTATTGATTCATTCGTATAAGGAAATGCATTTGATATTAATCGTATTTATTTTAACTCTAAGGGGAGGTGTCTATAAGGGTGTACTAAAAAAAAAAATTTGAAAAGCCTGCAAAAGAATCCAGAGTAAAAACTATTGTTGGATCGAGTTGGTTTTTACCTCAACAGCGCCACCTTTCGGCAAAGGTTAGTTGAAAATTAATCTATCTGGTTTTGAGAAAAGTGCGAAGACTCTGATTTTCCCAGTATGGGAAGAGGCAAGAAGGGCAAAAAGCTAGTTGGACCACGATGGCAGAACCCAACCTTCCAGGAAAGAGCCCTTCAGAAACTGCGAGGAGTTGTTGAAATATTTTTTTTCTCTCTAATGACCCTCTTCGTTGCTTCGAAAGAGGTCCACAGACACAGTCCTTGAAGGATGTTATTTGGGCTGAGAGACCTGTGCGTGTTGATGCCATGTAACAGGGCTCAGGCTCTTTCAAAGTGCCAGGAAGAAGGCTTTTCAACCGACTTTGACAATAGCTATAGAATGAAAGTTCCTTGTAATTCAATGATAAATGAGGCATCGCTCGGAAGCAAAACTATTGCGGTGGTTTGCAATCATTTATTTGAAAAGTAATTCCCAGAAAAACCTGACTTCTGACACTTAAGTCATATATTAAGCCAGTTTCGTGAACATTGCACCTAAGGGTGGTCTCAAACCCTCCCATAGCATATTTTTTTCTGTTTATAAACAGACTTTGGGGGTTACTCATGGCTTGGGACAGCAGATTAGACTTCTGTTAATTTCTCATCAGCAAACTCTGGCACCCCTGCTGGTAGACACCCCGGGAGATGTGTAGAGACACCCTCATTCTAAAGGGCTTCCTCTGTTGGTATTTTCTAGACAAGCTATTCGTTTTGCACTGTTTTGTAGAGTGATTATTGTTCATAAAGGTGGTTTTGGTTTATAGGAGTGCTTTGTTGGGGTGGCATGAACTGTGTTTACTTCCAATTTGGGGGGAAAAAAGTGAAGACTATGTCAGTATTTATGTGACCTAAGAAACTTCTGTCTTTGCTTTCCTCCTTTCAAACAATATTTTACCTGGTAATGAAGTTAAGGGATCATAGTGTACATTCGAAGAAAAAGCTAGTATTTAAAATCACATAAATGTTGTGCTGGTTAGCTATGGTTTTTTTAGGTCTTTCTAAAAATCATTAACCATAGATGCCTGATGTTTATGTGTCTATGTAAAATAGGAATATGTCTTCAGAAATAATTCATTTTTATGATAACTTTTAGAATTTTCGGCATTAAGTTTTTGTTAAAAGCTGTGAAGTATAATCCTTGCCTCTTTGAAAAAAAGGTATGCTTTGAGCCAGGAACATGGAGACTGCTGTATTTATAAACAAACATCATTTTATGAACAAAAATCGCTGATGATGGAGACCATGCCCTATAGCTCCATGACCACATACCCAATTGTCACAATTATACACCATTTCTAGACATCCAGGGACCACATTTGGCCAGCTAACTGTATTATTATCTACACGGTTTTTTACGGTTTATTTTTCATTTTTGCTATTGTCAGCCATCACATTTTTCTTCCTCTTTTTGTAGAGCCTTTTACATTTCCCCACTTTCATTTGAAGAGAGAGAGAGAGAGAGAGAGAGAGAGAGAGAGAGAGAGAGAGAGAGAGAGAACAGAGTATTTTTTTAAAGACGTGTAGCCAGAGTGCTTTCGGGCTTTAGCTCTTAGGTCCCTTTTGGCCCCTCGGCATTGTTTTTTGATGCACAGGAGGTGTCTAAACATTTACAGTTTGCTGTGAGTGGCGTTTCTTTGATAACAATTGCAAGCTCTCATTTTAATTTAGTCCCATTCAGGTTTCTGATTCCCCACAATTATAGCAGGCCACAGTGCTCGCGACTTCTTTGCTAAAGCTGCTGGTTTCTCTTCTAGCCAAGTCAATCTAATCCAAACACTATATGAATTGAACCCCCTTCTCTCCCGTATGTACTTCAGTAATCTCAGCCAACTGTATACAGTGATTTAGAAACCACACGTTTGTCCTTATTGACCAATTCAAACCGGTAGCATTAAAGTTTCTGCAAGCAATGGATATTTATAAAATGGTTTGGATGGGAAGGAGGGCATCAGGCTGGTCATGCAAGAAGACTTGGAAACATCAGAAAGCACAACCATAACTCTGAGTCAATCTACCTATAGCTTCTTGCAAACAGGGATGGAAGTGTAGGAGGCCCTTCATATCTAAATTGCAAATATTAGAGGCTAAAAGGAATATATTTTTCCTGATTACAAGCTACTACCACTGATATATATATATATATCATGTTTACATCACACTTACAGAATCTAAAATGAACAGGGTGTAGCTAGAAGCTTCAGATGGCTTTGTTTATGTGCGAGCTGGTTTTATGGTGCTGAACTAACCAGTGTCCACTAAATTTCAGTAGGAAACGGACTCCATTGATCTGAAAAGGAGTTCTGGGGAGGACTGGAGTGATAAGGCATACTCGGTTCCTAGGTCTAGTGTTAGATAAATCCTTTTAGCCGTCTTCACTTAGCAGGGTAAGTAAATCACAGAGTACTGTTAGCAGATTCATGGAAGAAAATTAATAGAATCAGACGAGATAATCTGATAAGGGTAAAATTGCTGAGGAAACAGTCTTGGCTGGCATCGGAGGGCGAGAAACAACAGTCTGATTACGAAGAGTTGTTATGAATAGGTGA